CTTTTGGAGCAGCAGTCGCCAACTGGTGGTCTGCGGACCACTGGTGGTCAGGTGAGGTCCAAAAGATTGGTGACCGCTGACCTAGATGATCCATCTAAAATCTTGGTGTTTATATACTTTTGCTGATGATGATCTCTTTCTTGAACTAGAGTTTCCTGTGACCAATTTTCTTTGCAACTCTTTTGAGAAAAATCACAAATAGATATTTCCCATTTAATATTTCCAGAAATAAACTGATCTATCTTCCCAAGCCTATTTCTCCCATGGTCTTTCCCTTCTTGGTAAATGACAGTTACAGTCTTTGAATTGCTTAGGCACAAAAACTTGGAGTCAGATCTTGACTCCTCTCTGTCTCTTACAGAGATTTCTATGTGTTGTTGTGTTATTTTTAATAGTTGTATCCCTAGCATAAAGAACAGTGTTTGATACATAGTAGACACCATAAATAGGCTTTGAAGGAATGAAATGCATGAGCTAATAAAATAGAAACTGAACTGTAATTTGATGTCCAAAGATAGAATCTTTAGTTAATCTTAAGGAGGACAGAAACTCTGTTTTCTTACTCTGCTCAGTTCCAGAACTGCTACTGAAGCAATTAGTAGGGCATAATGCAAATTAATGGAGATCATATGCTATGTTTTTGGAACATCAGGCAGAATATGGTGATTAATTCTTTATCACGAACATCTCACTTATTATTTCCTTTCACGTCTGTTAATATCCCCAGGTGACATAGGGTAGATACTCAATAACTAATTTTTGTTAATTTCAGTTGCAGAATTTTAAAAGTGGGATTTATTCTATTCTTGTCTAAAACTTGTTACTCTCCTTGCATTTATATCTCTGTAAATACCACTTCCTATCCACTTGAACAACAAAGGTTGCAGGCCTCTTGTAAATTCATTTCCTCTGCCTCAACCCCTTATCAATCCAGCCATCACATCAAATATGTTTTTCTCTTTATATTTCAAATGTTCAAGCCCTCCCTTAGCTGCCTATCAAAGTTACTTCTGCAATAGCTTCTTAACTTGTATCTATCACATATTTTATTGACTCTTTGCATAAAATCCTTTATGATTTCTGCTATTTTTCATTGCATCTGAATTTTCTGACTTGGCACACAAGGTGGTGCCTCATCTGACCTATCTCTGTGTCTAGCCTTATCTCCATGGCTCCCCCCCACCCCCCCCACCCCCAACCCCAACCCCACCTCCACTCACCTCTTTGACACCCTACAAACTGCTTAGGAAATCTGAATTTCTTGTAATTCAACAAAAGAGCCCATGTCCTTGAACATGTTAATTCCTCTTCTGGCAACATCTTAATCCTCCTCTTCATCAGTCTGTCTTCCTGTTAAACCTTAGGAGTCTGTGCCATTACTAAAGTATCCTTGTTTTCACATATTTTATGTATTCCCATTATATAAAGAACATATTTCTCATAGTATGTAGCATATTTTAAATCACAGTACCTATTTACTTACATTTGGGCAGGAAACATGTCTTGTTTACTTTTGTAGTTCATGAAACTTCTTCCGTGTCTCTTGGAATTGATTTGGCAACTAGTGCTACTGGTAGTGCTGTATCAGTGTGAAATGATGTGATACAACAGTATATATGTTAAAAGAAGAAACTCTTGTACCTAAGTGATACTTTTCGAAAGAGGATATAAGAAAGGCCAAGAAACATGAAAACATGCCCAAAGTCACTAATCATCTGCGAGATGCAAATCAGAAGGACAACGTGGTACCATCTCACACCTGTCAGAATGGCTATCATCAACAAGTCAACAAAGGACAAGTGCTGGTGAGGAGGCAGAGAAAAAGGAAACTTCATTGTATTGCTGGTGGGAATGCAGACTGATGCAGCCACTGTGGAGAACAGTATGGAGTTTCCTCAAAAACTAAAAATGGAACTTCCATTTGACCCAGTAATACCATTTCTAGGAATATAACCCAAGAAACTAGAAACACCAATCAGAAAGGATATATACACCCCTATGTTCATAGTTGCACAATTTACCATAGCTAAGATTTGGAAACAGTCTAAGTGCCCATCAGTAGATAAGTGGATTAAAAAACAGTGGTACATCTACACAATGGATTAATACGCTGCTATATAATGGAAGGAACTCCTACCATTTGCAACAGTATGGATGGACCTGGAGAGCATTGTGCTAAGTGAAATAAGCCAATCAGAAAAAGATAAATATCACATGATTTCACTCATTTGTGGACTATAATGAACAACATAAACCGATGAACAAAGACAAGATCCAGAGATAGAGAAGTATTGATCAGACTGTCAAACACCAGAGGGAAGGTAGGGGAGGGTGGAGTTAAGGGGGAGAGATCAGCCAAAGGACTTATATGCATGCATATAAGCATAACCTATAGACATAGACAACAGGGGGGCGATCTAGGTATAAGGACACATATGTAATACCTTAATCAGTAAAGAAAAAAGAAAAAGAAAAAATAAAGAAGGAATTACTTAGACTTTAGTTTGATTATAGAATTTCTTACATCTGTAAGGAAATAGTATCTTTTGTTTATATATTTATAGACATGTTGCATAATTCTTATAAAATAATCAAAGTGGTTGTAGGTCATGATGGCAAATTTTTTGAATTGGGAAAAGGAAATTTTATAGAACTGAATTCATTTCAACTTAAATGAATTTCCTATTTTTCCTTTTATGTTGAATTACCTTTTAGAATGTTTCCTAGAAGTATTTTCTATTATTCTTTTCTTTCTCCTAAATTCCATGCTATTATTTCTCTACACATACCCTGTTTCCTCGAAAATAAGACAGTGTCTTATATTAATTTTTGCTCCCAAAGATGCGCTAGGTCTTATTTTCAGGGGATGTCTTATTTTTCCATGAAGAAGAATACGGTACACATTTATTGTTAAATGAAAATAAAGGAAATTTATTACCTATATATGGTACGGTAGTACGGTAATTGTCAACACAAACCAGACAAACTGTGAATCCTACAGTATCAAGAATTTACTCTTTTATTCAATGACAATCATGTCAACATCTTCTTGAACATCATCGTAATCCAATTCCTGAATGTCCTGGTGAATTTCTTGTGACTCCATTTCTTTCAAAATCAGTGGACCAAATCTCTCAATGTTTAGCAATAGCATTCTGAGACAGAGCCTAGGGGGGACCTTATTTTTGGGGGGGATGCCTTATATTTCACTCAGAAGGAAACCTGTAAATAGGTCTTATTTTCGGAGGATGTTTTATTTTCAGGGAAACATGGTATTAAAATTCTATTTAGGTCATATTTGCTGCTAATTTTTGTGGCTTTGTTTGAGTGGCCATTAATTTTCATCTTTTCCAGAAACTTGTTGACTAACACTGATATAATTTCTTTGAATGTACAGAAATATTATTTAAATCCTCTTTGTGATCTTTTAAATTTGTACAGTATTGCCAAGAAAAACATTGTGGGTACTAGGTAATGACTATCAAGGAAGTGGAAAGCATTTTAAAGTTGACCTTTTCACATCAACTGGTTACACTTCAGTGACCATCTACGGAAAGATTGATTCTTTTTAAAGTTTTTTATTTAAAAAAAAAATTCTTTTCCCCCTTTTTTACTCTCTTGTGGCACATTTTCTACCTCTATGTTAAACAGTCTTAAGTTTTGACAGTAGAAGGATACTGGTCAGATTTTAACAGTTAGATATAAAATACTACAATTACTATATATTTCAACCAGCAGGGACTGAGACTTCCCATTGGTGTCTTAATCCAAAAATGGCATTTTAAATTCATACAAACCTTGCCTTAAGGGATAGAGAAAGGACAATTTAGGGAACAGCATGAGGTTAAACATTGATCAGTAGGCCTGTCATTCTTGCTAGACTTTGGTAGAATGTAGACTAAGAAAAAATAACTGCAAAGCATACTTTTGCTTCTGTAGAGACAATCTCTCTTGCTTCCATTATATGGATTTTAGATGATGAACCATATATTTCAGGCCAGGTTTTTAAAAAATGGAGAGGTTGAAAGTTGGAGTGTTAAACATCAAGTGAAATTTTATTTATTTTTATCATTTAAGTATATACTGAAGAATAAATAATTTTAGTTATATTATTTCTTTATGGTTTTGTTGTAACAGTAATTTTGAATTTTTGCCAAAGTGTAAGAACCATTGTCTGGTAAATTAACTTTTAGTAATTAATTGTGTGGTGTTCCTAATATATTTTTGATTGTAATAACCCCATCAACCAGATTCAGGATACTTATTGACTTTGAAATCTTTGGGGCTTAGGATCTCTCTTGATGATGGAAAATTATCTTATCCTATTTTATGTGTTAGCCTTTATTTGAGATTTATAGTTTTTCAACTAGGATGTGTTCAGTTTGTGTTATATGTGTTAGAAGTGACATTTTGAACAAGACATTAACTTTGATTAGAGTAAATTTTCTATCTAATAGTGCCAATGCCTAATGTTTCCCCACCTCTGCTCTCCCACAAGGACCTCTTACTACCTGAAAAACAAGAAATTCCACTGAAACTATAATTCTTATATAATTTACTAGAGGCTTGGTGCACAAAATTCATACTCCTTGGTGTACAATTCTATCCTGTGCCCTCTTGCAGTCTGGGAGCCCTTAGGGGATGTCTGATTGATGGCTTAGGCCTGCTTCCCCGGGACATCCTTAGTGCTGACATCCTTAGTGCTGCTTCACAGGCAGGAGAGGCTCCCAACACTGCCAATGCACTCGCCAGCTGTGCAACCGGCTCCTGCGTTGAGCTGTGCACCCAGCCCCTTGGTGGTCAATGCACGTCATAGAGACTGGTTGTTCCACCATTAATGAATTTACTACAGTATTTTACATAAGCATCATTTGATAGATTCTCCTATGAAAGAACATATTTGATAATATTTGGAACAAAACCTTGATGTTTTGGTTCTGTTACTCTTTTTAAATGTTGGAATACAAGTCTAACTATGGCTGTGTAATAATATATTGCAGGTAGCATGTATGCAGCTCATCAATGCCCTAATTACATCTCCTGATGATCTGGACTTTAGGCTTCACATCAGAAATGAATTTATGCGTTGTGGATTGAAAGAGATATTGCCAGTAAGTGCTCTGCAGTCTCCTTATTAATATTTAAATTAGAGGAGTACTTGAGTAGGGGGAAATGTAGGTAAATTACCTTCAAGAATAATTTATCTGAGGGGGAAAAAGGCTTGAATATTAAAATTTATTTTTAAAAGCTAGATAAGATTTTTGAGTAACACTTTAAATGTTTGAATGTTATAAAAATCAAATTGAGTGGTTTGTTTATTGTTTATGTTTTTATTTAATTTTTGCATTATGGATAAAAAGTTTATCATAGTTTCTATTTGATATCTCTAGAATTTAAAATGCATTAAGAATGATGGCCTGGATATCCAACTTAAAGTTTTTGATGAGCATAAGGAAGAAGATTTGATTGAACTCTCCCATCGTCTGCAAGATATTAAAGTTGAATTTGAATATCCTTTTGTTCTAAAATCTACCCAGATATGTAAAATTACTGCTAAATCCTAACAAACAAACCTTATTCCATAAAATAGTAAACTTCTAACTAAACAATATAAATTCAAGCCTTTGTGAATGAGGATAATTATATAAATTTTTATTATGTAATTAATATGTGATTTTTTTTATGAGTACACACATAAGTAATTGGATGCTACGATATACAATTGACTTCAGTTAGATTAGTGTCTTATGTTTTTGTGTGTAATCTGTTGGTTCTTCTTTTTTATGTTTGGTACCTCCCCTCCTTTGATGCTTCCAGCAATAGGAATTAGGGGATCATAGCCTGTTGGTTAGCTCTTGCCCTACATCCTGGGTACATACTCATATGGGCCCTTGTGAACTCTGTGGGTCTGAACATGTTTTGTTGTCCCAGACATTTGCCAGATTCCTGTCCTTCACGGAGGCTTCTCCCAGACCCAATACTGTAATCACAGCCAGCTGCCCATTGTACTGTCTTCCAGCAGCATCTTGGCTCTAGAGAGGGAGATTGGTTAAATTGTAGAGGAGAAGCCAAGAAGTGTTGGGTTGTCATTTACACACAATTCTCTCTACTCTCAGTTCTAACTAACCTTGTTTGATTATAGGTTGGTATGCATGATGCCTATTTTAGGGTGAGATACACAATAATCTTTAGAAGTCTTACAGAGCAGACTCTGTCATATTATTTCAGTTCAGTGTGAAAGATAAATAAATCCACATATTCCTTAATTATTTTACTGAAGCATATGATGTTTACAACATGGTGTGGAGCACAGTTAAGGAAACTAGAGCAGAGAAATATTTTATTTCTATTCTTCAGCATCTTTTACTCATTCGAAATGATTGTTTTATAAGGTAAGAGGAAGTTATGTTCTAATGTTTTATTTTACTGATAAAATTCTATTAATTGTGAAATTAACCTGATGTTTGGTTTGGGCAAGCAAATAATTTTAAAGTTTTTTTTTTTTATCATAATACTCATTCATAGAATGTGATGTTTCATCTGGGCATATATTAAGATAGATAATAGTAAAATGATATTACTATTATTTTTTTAAGTTCCATTGCGGTCATGTTTATACCTTTTCATCTGAATAAAAATGCAAACTAGCAACAAATTACTAATTTATCATGTGATGGATAATATTTTCTGGTTAGTGTTTAGGTGGCAGAAATGTTGATGAGTTTCTTTTTATAAGTTACATGAAGAGCACTTAAATTTTGCTTTTATTAAGTAGGTAGACAGTGCCTTAATACTGTTGGTTTGCTTAACATTGCTCATGTATTAGAAAAGCAAGACAAATGACTTTTAATCATTTGTCTTAACCATCTTGACCTTATTAACACATTGTTTATCCAGTTTATACCTTACCTATATGTAACTATATGTGGACATTAGCACCTGATTTGTCTGGCTTGCTATGAAAATGAAATACAGTAACATGGGTAAAACTCCTAGCCAAATACCTGGCACCTGCTGTGTGCTCAATAAACGTTCTCAATATTCCTTTTTTGCTTTTATTACTATTTTATGAGGGAAGTTGAGATCTTTGAATATAAAACCATTTATTTTGCCACCAATTATAGCTTTGCTGAAATTGCATTCTCAAATACCGTGAGTCTTGAAGGATTTGCTAGAAATTTCTCATTTAGGCCCTGTCCTCTGGGTGTATTATTTTTGTTCTTATAAAGAGGTTATGCATTTACAACTAGATTAAGTTAGAATTATGTCCATTCACATAGCATTTTTGTCATACATTCATTTTCTTATTTACATACAGGAAAATTAACTCTGTTTGGTGTACAATTCTATGAATCTTGTGGTCTTACCTTCTTTTTGGTATTACTATCTCAGATGGACCTAGATTTTACATTTCAGAAGTCTTCCAATATCTGAACATATTTTGTTTATTGAACATTAGAAACTATTTTTATGAAATAGTTTAATTGAAATCATTTAGTTTTAATAAATAGATTAGGTGCTGAATAAATGGATTTCAGAATGCAAAGTAATCTCATTTAAAAGAATCTATATATAAAAGGCTAGGTGTCCATCCGACTGGTAGCTATGATGCACACTGACTGCCAGTGGGCAGGCACTCAACTCAGGAGCTGCCATGGCACACATTGGTAATTTAAAAATAAACAGCACCATGGACTTGGCGCTGACAAACCAACACTCGGCTTCCCCCAAGTGGGACACAGGCCCTGCCACCACCCCAGACCAAGACCCTACCAAACTGCAGCCAATGCTGCCAAGTCCCATGGTGCAAAATGAGACCCACAGCCTAGCCCAGCCCAGCCCAGAAAAGGTCACTGTGGGCACCAGGTAATGACATAACTTAGCAATGCTGATTTCCTCTACCTAGCAACTAGCCTTCTTGGAGTTTCTTCAACCCAGGAATCTGACTTGCTTTATAGCCAGGTGCAAACATTTTACAGTTTAACCAAATGTCTGTGAAGCATTTGAATGTGCCTTATCTCATTTGATCCTCACAGAAGTCCTAGAGTAGGTAGATTGGAGAATCTGTGGAATCCTATTTTATTTTCATTAGCCAGAGAATGGATATTTAGAAAGTTTAGAAATTTGACCCAACTGAAAAGAAGTAAGAAATGGTGAACCTTGAAAATAACTTCAGCTTTTCTCACTGTGCAGAATATAGTCAAACAATGCTACAGTTAAATATTTTATCCTTTGTTCTCCCTATATATTTTACAATAATAATCTGTTTTGTGTTAATATTTACTACTGTGTTGCTGACAATTACCTGAGAGAGAAGTTGGGGTGCTTCACTGGGCTGGAAAAAGTTTAGCTAAATCAGAAAGCAGGTCTAGTTAAGCAAGTGTATATAGCGACGTTGGCTCGCACATTTTCGATACATATAAAGCTCTTGCTGGCGCCAATCACATGTGTTTGTTTTGATCTGCCATTGTCAATCATGAATTCGGTTGACACTTTTATTATAGAGAAAGGGCGAATTGTGATATTAAAATATTTCTAATTAATTTTTTTTCACTGTGTACAAATCTGTGCACTGGAACACTAGTTAGTAGATAAGAAAATTAGAATATTTCTTCACTTTTACATTTAAAACATAAGGAAATTTTATTGTAAGGGATCTTTATTGGAGGTGGTATACCAAGGAAGCCCTTGCCAACCAAGAAAAATAAATTCAGTATGATAATTGGAAGGTGGAGGAGGAGCTCAAATTCAGTACTGCAACAAAAATTAGTGGCTTTCCATGTGTAGAATACTATGCTATTTGAGTGTGCATAGGAGGTAATTTCTGATATTCTGTAAAAATATTACAGAGAAAGTGAATATGATTTTAAAATATCTTCTAATAGGGCTTTTTATCAGTATATAATGACAGTTGTGTTAGTCTCTTAATTAAGGTTTTCCCATATTCCTCTGACATACACTAACTTATTGATATCACTTATAGAGATTATTTTCTTAATTACTTTTCTGGAAATCAGATGTATATTATTCTCTGCTAGTTTTGCCTTGCTGAAAGAGTTTTTGCCCAAAATTTCAGCTATATCATAAACAAGCTCATGGTTGGGTGTGTGGAGGAGGGAAAATAATAACTGAACTGATTTTTCTTTCAATGTCATAAGTAACTCGTTGTGTCAATTAAAATATTATTATTGAAACAGCATTAGAATAGCATTGAATGAGTAAAACAAAAAAATGGAAGTGGATCATCTAAATTTTCCATAGATACAAATATGTGTGCAATTTATGTACCTTAAGTGTAAATGTGATTATGGCTAAAATATTAGAGAGTGAGAAATTATTTTTTGAAAGCAGTTGATAATACCTTCTTGTTTTGTTTGTATCCAGAAATAGTGACTTGAACATTTTTATTTTGACAATTAATGAGCAATAGTCTTTTTGCTAATGTTAAGCTGTAGTAAATCTTATTGTTGGTACAATCCCTCACAGAGCACACCTGGGCCTTCTCCCACCGCCAGGCCTGTTACCATTACCTTCCTACCTCCCAAGCTCTAAGGGCCCTTCCTTTACCTGTGATTTTACCAAATAAATGTTCCCTTGTAGTTAGAGTCTTGGCTCTGAATTATTTCCTAGCCATAACTCAAGTACTTAATTAAAAAAAAAATTATATCATCTAATGGATGGTTTAGTTGGTTAAGGGCAGTTTACAGAGAAGGAAAGCCCAAGTTGCTAGAGAGGCCATCATATAGATGGTAAAGGAAGTTTGGAGAGGAAATGTATGCAAAAAGTCAACGAGGGAAGAAATTAGTTATTGGGGTGGAGAGTAGCTGGGGATGGAGGACTGACTGTACCTTATTAGAATATTACCCACCCTGTCTATCACTTTAGTTTGTTTTGTTTATGTAAAGTAGGGGTGTCGAACTCAATCAGAGAAGGGGCCAAAATCTAAAATCCAGCCTAAATCGCGGGCCGAATGGTTTACTGAACAGTCATAAACTGTCATTGTGATGGAAACACAGCGGAGTGCAGTGATGACAGCGCGGTGCGTGCCACATTGCAAGGCCTGGCGGGACGGATTTGGCCCTCGGGCCTTGTGTTTGACACATGTGATGTAAAGTATTCTATATGTTTCTTTCACATGTGTTGGCTTGAGTTTGAAAGGATGTTCTTTAGCTTATTATACACATTGGACTGAACTGTAATCAAACATGAACCTTTTTGGGCATTTTAGTTAATTTTTTGGACAAAATTGCTATACTAAAATTTTCTAGCTTTTTTTGACTAAGAATTATTTATTTGATATTGTATATAATTCATAGTATCATTTTTTAATTTGGTTCCATATACATTCTAAAATGTATGGTTTGAAGAACTTTCAAGAGAAAATTTTAGAAATTTGTTTTTATTCATGTTAGTTAAAGAAACCAATGGTAGCTATTTCAGTATGGTAGAGTGGTTGGTTGATGATCTTTATTGAGGACTTCTTTTGAGCACATATCTCAGGTTTATCATCTCGCTGAAACCGATTTGGCTCAGTGGATAGAGCATCGGCCTGTGGACTGAAAGGTCCCAGGTTCGATTCTGGTCAAGGGCATGTACCTTGGTTGTGGGCACATCCCCAGTAGGGGGTGTGCAGGAGGCAGCTGATAGATGTCTCTCTCTCATCGATGTTTCTAATTCTCTATCCCTCTCCCTTCCTCTCTGTAAAAAATCAATAAAATATATTTTAAAAAAAGAAAACCATCTTTAAAGCACACTATATTTGCAAAAACATAATAAAAATACAGTGTCTCAAAATCATTAGGAGGAAAGTGATAGGGTAATTGTATTTACTGATACTCCCATGTTAAATCTGTTATGTTATCTATTGAAACTATACAAAGTAAATGATTAAACTTGAAATCAAACTTACCAAATATTTTCAATGTAAAATTACACTAATGAATTCAATATACACTCTTTTTCTTGATTTAGGCAACAGTACTTCAAATTAATTGATGAGTGTGTATCTCAGATTGTATTACATAGAGATGGAATGGATCCAGACTTCACATACCGAAAAAGACTAGATTTAGATTTAAGTCAATTTGTTGGTGAGTATCCCTCTATTATTTAAATGGAAATATCCTATTGTCTCTTAACCTCCTAGATTAGCTCTAGAGTATTTGTTCTCATAGTGGGGCCTGTAGACTACTGAGGGCCTTGATATCTTTTCTACGGGTTCTAATAGTTAAATCTATTTTCATAATATTAAGACATTATTTGTCTTTTTTCACTGGGTTGTCTGTAATTGAACTTGGGACCTTTCAGTCTGTGGGTTGCCGCTCAATCCACTGAGTCAAATGGGCTAGAGCAGCACCCACTTTCTTAAAAATGAAATGAAGTGTGTCTATACTATAAGGAAAATGAGTGATAACATTTGTTACCAATGATAAAATTCAAGCATTCAAGTAAAATTTCAAAATGTGGAATGATTTTCAGATAGTATCTGAAAAGAAAATTTATTCCTGGACATTCTTGAGTTAATGAGTGTTTTAGACATTTAGCACTTACTGAATATAGGACATAGAAAGGAAATATATATTTGAACATAGTTTGGCTATATAAGTGAAACATTTATATAGTTATAATGAAATTATTTTATTTATTGATATTAAATGTTTAGAATAAGTTTATAGGCACTGAACGACACAAATACAGACTGTGTGGATATGAACAGATGAGAGAAGATACAAGGTTGGACAGTTTAGGAGACAGATATTGATTGGAAAGTAAAGGGCACTGATAACTTCATGAATTATAGTGAAAATTAAGAGACACAGTGTAACAGGAATCAGAAGTTTAAATTTTTATTTAGTACTATGGAGCCAAGCAATTTAGAAAGTAAAATTACCAATATTGGGATTAGATAGGGATAATAGTTTCCTTCTTTTATAGCAGGAAGTTATCTATAATGTCTTAAATAGATATGTTAAGAAATAATAGTGTAAATGTTTTGTTTAGAGTTAGAAACTAATCACCAGAATAATCTAAAACAGAAAGGGCTAAAAGAGATACCATTTAGGGAGTGGGGTTCACTTTTCATTGCAGTTGAATTGGTTCACTATTACTTTTCATTAGAAGCCCCTCTGTAATGTTTTGAAAGTGATGTTCATATATTATTTTCATTAAAAAATAAAAGGGATGAAATACATTTTGGGAAATCCATGCACACACTTTGAATAATTATAAAGGCAATCTTAGCTTTCAGCTGTTAAAGTATGCATACAATTTTTTGGGACACCCTATATATACATATATTTTGGAAAACATGAGGATGTTTGGGTAATCTTACAAAGATAGAGAAAGCAAGATATGAGAGAAAGATCTATTGATCCATCAGTTGCCTCCTGTATGTGCCGCCACTAGGGATTGAACCCACAATCTGGGCATGTTCCCTTAGCAGAAATTGAACCAATAACCTGTGTGTGCATGGGAGGATGCTTCATTCAACTGAGCCACAGCAGTGAGAGCCTAATGTTAATTATTTTAATCACTATTCCTTCTTAAAGACAAAATTCTAGAAATAGAATTGCTTATACTGTGAAGTTTCTTACTTATACTTTTATTATGTTGGCAATTTGGTTTCTCTGTGCCACCTCCAAGTTTGGCATTATGGATTATTTAATCTTTGCTGTTTCTTATTAAAAATTTTATATTTTTATATCGTTAGGGAAAATAAAATATTTATTCATTTGTTTTAGCAATTAAAAAATATATATATATTTTATTGATTTTGTACAGAGAGGAAGGGAGAGAGATAGAGAGTTAGAAACATCGATGAGAGAGAGTCATCGATCAGCTGCCTCTTGCACACCCCCTACTGGGGATATGCCCGCAATGAAGGTACATGCCCTTGACCAGAATCGAACCTGCTACCCTTCAGTCTCCAAGCCAATGCTCTATCCATTGAGCCAAACCAGTTTCGGCAATTTTTGGTTTTATTATTCTTAACTTTCTGTTCATTTCTATGGCCCATTTTCCTATCTTCTGTTGGATATCATCTCTTCTTCAAAATATTTATGGACTGATGATAGAAACCTTTCAGTATTGTATGTTATAGTTGAACTTCCTCATCTTCTTGCCTAATAGTTTAAAATTGTGGTAGGGTTTGTCTTTCCCTTTATGTTTTATGGCCTTGTTATTATGCTTAGAAAATTCTTCTTTATTCCAACATTATAATATGTTTTTCTACTTTGCTTATTTCATTACTGGCACTGTTCTAAATCTTTCTGATGCTTTTTTATGTCTTTCTAAACTTTAAAGTCATAATGAATTTGAGAAGGACTGCAATTTAAAATTTCTTATCTTTGGAATTTTAGATATTTGCATAGATCAAATGAAAGTAGAAGAGTCTGAAGAGAAAGCATCAGAATTTTACAAGAAAGTGAGTGACTTTTATTATTTGTTTTATTATTTGGGGAACTGCTGCAGGTATGCTCTGCCTTAGAGTCTTTGCTTGTTGTTGCAACTTCTTTTTCTTAAAAAAAAAATACAAAATATATATATATATATATATATATATATATATATATATATATATATATATTTTTTTTTTTTTTTTAAGAGAGGAAGGGAGATGGAGAGAGAAACATCAATGATAAGAGAGAATCATTAAATGGCTGCCTCCTGCATACCCTCTACTGGGGACCAAGCCCACAACCCAGGCATGTGCCCTGACTGGGAATTGAACTGTGACCTCCTGGTTCATAAGTTGACACACAACCATTGAGCCACTCTGGCTAGGCTACCACTTTCTTCTTTACATCCTTTAGATATTTGCACAAATGCCATCCTCCAAAGAGCATTTCTACAGGATTATATTTATCCCCCACCCAATCCTGACTCTCCCAATCCTGCTTTTATTGTTTCTCTTTTGTTGTATTTATTAGTTTACAGGGTACATAGTTTATTATGTATTTATATGTATGTATATGAATGTATTGTCTCTTAATCTCTCAAGAGTAAATTTGAAGAGGGATTTTTTTTTGTTTGCTTTATTCACTATTCAGCACCAAGAATGATTCCTGGCTTAAGAACTAAAAAAATATATTTTTGAATGAATGAATGCTTGAATAAAGTGTATGTAGTCAGAATTTTAAGATTGATGTATTTTTTAAGAAATCATATATTTTCAGCATTTAGGATTGAAATTATATCTGAAAAATTTAAAAGAAAGTTTAATTTTACTTTTTAAAAAATAAAATTTGAGTGTTGACTAATGTATTTTTTTTAAATATACATTTTTATTAATTTTAAGGAGTAAAGGAGAGGAAGGGAGAGAGAGAAACATTGATTGGCTGCCTCTTGTACACCTCCTATTGAGCACTGAGCCTGCAACCTGGGCATATGCCCTTGACTGAAATGGAACCTGGGACCCTTCAGACCATAGGCTGCGACTCGATCCACTGAGCAAAACCAGCTAGGTCTACTTGCTGTTCTGATTAAAGCTATTTCATTTTAGATCAGGTTGAGCCATATAAAATTATCATTTTCATAGGTTAAATATATCAAATATTGTCAATTTCATTTATTTCAGCCTAATAGTATCACTAATTATCTTGCCATCCATTTTCACTTTTCTTTCTTAAGATGGTGTTTTTCTTAGCAATTACCCATTACACTTTCTCTCTTTTTTTTGGGCGGGGGGTGGGGTGGGGTTTGTTGTCTTAACATTTTAGGTATTTACTCTGATTTGAATTCATAGGACTAGTTTCTTACATCAAAGAAATAATAATAATTATACTACAACCACCTTGATGAACATGAACATTTACTATGTGTTAGGCCCCATGCCACACAATCTACGTTTTTGTTGTATTTGGTCCTAAATAAATCTTGAAAAAAACTGCACAGTTTTATAAACTTGTACGATAAAAGTTAACTGCAAATGATAGGCACTTTTTCATAGGTTAACAGTAACTTATGAAAAACTTTGTAAATTTTCTAAACTGTTCTAAGGCTCACCAAACATTTACTGAGAGGGTGTTATATCTCAGACTTTTGGTTATAGGCTAGGACTACAGCTGTGAATAAGATATTCACAATGGGGGTCATTTAAATATGGATCATTTAAATGAACTATTATAGTTGACAGATGTCTGTGTTACCAAATGACCCCATCACCCCATCAACTTTATATTCAAAGTTCAGTTAGAATTTTTACTTTTCATTGGAAAAATAGGACACTTTCAGGTACTTAATTGGGATGTATCCCAGATAGCATAAATTTGCTTTTATAATAATTTTTAGTTATATAGCCTATATGAGTGGTGTTAAATATGATAACTTCCTCAATACATTGTTTTAAAATTGTAAGCTTTAAATGTAAGTAGAAGAAAGACCTTGTTCAAGGTTAGTTGTCTCGTTTTAGTCAAAGTTATGTGTTTTAGGTATATTCAGAAAATATTGTTTGCTCCATAAAAGATTTCTACTGCCATAACATTTTGTATATATCAGCAAGAACTTCTTTCTGATAGCTTTATAAGGACACATGTAAATACTTAGCTTTAGGCAGGAAGCTATCCTAGTTGCTAGACACATTCTTTATTTGGTGCATAAATTTGAAAAATGAAGACCAGAAATGTCAGAAAGTACACAGAGAATATTGAATTATCAACCTTCTTGTACAGATGCACTAATACATTTACCCTAGGGGATGAAATTAAGCAGAGCCTCAACCTTAACTGTGTTTCTTGACATTTTTTTGCGTGTAATATTGTAAGCATAATATTGCTCTGGTAACTTTTTGGATGGCTATCGTATCAGTTTTTATAAAGAACGTCTTTAATGTAGACTCTTTTTATCCCTTAGGCTACTGTGATTTGACTATAGATATTATAAAAATGTTAAATCAAAGTTTACATTTTGTCTGGTCCTCTTGTAAGGGAGCATCTAGATATCTTCCTCTTTGGTAATGATAAGGATACTTTCAATATGGCCAAGTTAATTTATTAAATTCTGTTAATGTGTACTAAATGTGACTAATTGTTTTGTTAGTTTTATCTGTGTTCCCCTGCACAATTCTTTATTTTTTGAATATTCTAAGGCCTATGAAATATGAAAGTGTACAAATTTATATTGTGAAAAAGACTTTTTCATTCTTACTTTCATAAGAATTTAATTTTTCTATTTCTTTTTATGTAACAGTAAACATCAACTGAGCAGTTATCAAAAGGAGAATAGAGAAAATGAGTTCTCAAAGTTTTTGGTGCTGGGAAATTGCAGGGGCTTTATTATTTGACAGATAGTAACTTATTTATTTAACATGTAAAGGAAGATTGGACAGGAATCAGCTCCTTAGTGCATTCAACAAAGATATATTGAGTTTAATTATGAATTACAGCCTTGGAAAGGTGATGAGTAAAATAAAGATTTTTCACTACTAATGAACTTCTAGATTAGTGAATGTTGTTGAGGTATGTGATACTACATTTTGATATGTGTATATCATTTTAATTATTAGGATAGAAAACCCTATATGGTGTGTAAGCCTATAGGAAGCATTCCTCACCTAATCTTGGGTGGGGAGGGAAGACTTACCCAAGGAAATGTTAGTCCTAACGGATACATATGAAGCAACAAGGTGGGATAACAAGGAGACATGCATAAAATTTGTATTTCTTTTTGTTGTTAGTCCTCACATGAAGGCATTTTCCCCCATTGATTTTAGAGTGAGTAGAAGGGAGTAGGAGAGACACAGAGAGAAAAACATTCATGTGAGAGAAACACATGGATTGGTTGCATCCCACACTTGACCTGACCAGCCGAGGTATGTGTCCTTGACCAGAATCAAACTCACAACCTTTCAGTCTGAGGGTGATGTTCTAACCACTGAGCAAAATCAGGTAAGGCTTGACTTTATTATAGGTAACTCAAGCTGAACATTCTCAAAACCAAATTAATCTTTCTTGTGCCTAAAAATGCCTCTTCACCCTGCATTTTAAATCCTCATCTTTCCCATCAAATTATAACACTTTGCAGCTTGTCATGCAGCACAACACCATGGTCATCATCTACATGTTCCCTCATGCATTTTCTTCATTCAGTCAGACACTTTTTTAAATTCTGTAAAAATATTTTGCTTCATGTCATTTTCATTATCCTATCTTCTACCTTTATTCACACAGGCCTTTAGTTGACTTGGATAACTGTTGTAGCCCCTCAACTCATTTTCTTGCCTCTACTGTTTCTCTTTCAGTCCATCTTCCAAACTTCCTGCTGGTTGGGTTTTATAAAATGCAAATTTGATTATTATTTTCTTATTGTAAACTAGAGGCCCAATGCATGAAATACATGCAAGAGCAGGTCTTCCCTCCCTGGCTGCTGGCACCGGCTTCCCTCTGACACCCAGACGTGGGCTTCCCTCACAGTCCCAGAAGGACAACCAGTCTTATTAGCATACTGTGCTCTTATTATTATAGATACTTTACTAGCTCTTCATGTTGTTTTAGGAAAAAGAAAACACTTTTTGACTTACTGTAAAACTGCTTTCAACAATTCCATTTCTGTGTACATTGCTAGCTTCACCTCCTGCAGTTTGTTCTCACAACTTTTTGGGCCCTTATAAGAGATTGCTTGTCATCCAACCCTAGTTCCTCTATTTGAAATGTTAGCTGCACTTCTCAGCTAACTATTCAAGTTCTCAAACCTGTGTCCAACATCCTTTCTCCAGGAATTATTCACTGTCTATCTATCTGTCTTTATTGCTGGTAATTTGTATAGGTTTTTGGCTTGTTTACTTTTACTTTGTCACCAGACACTATACTCACTAAAAGCAATGACCATATTCTGTTCAATTTTATATTTCTAGCCCCTTCCCCTCTGAGGGACACATCATAGGCAAGCTATTGGATATTTTTTTGCATAATGGAAAATAGGTAGTCTGGGGCCATATGCTGGAGGGTTCTTAGATATTAAGTTAATGAATATGTCCTTTATAATGAAGCAAGTGAAGAAGGTTTAAGAGCAATGTGTACATGTCATTTGAGCTGTTTTTTAGAAAGAATATCGGTTTTCAAAACAAAACAAAATATGTAGGGAGAAGATAATATTGGCCTTGAAAATACTGTATTTTTTGTTTATCTTGAAAAATGTTCATCAAGAAGTTGAAAATACATTTAAGGACTGATAAGTAGGCTGGAATTCAGGGGAGAAACTGAGCTATGTAGCAGAATTTGGAAACCATCAATATAAGAATGGTGATGGAAGCATATGGGTGTGAAAGATAGCATCCAATGAAAAAAGTGATGTGAGTCCAGCAGAGGGTGAGGGAGGAGTCCAGTACAATGGCAGCATTAAAGGGTTGGATTGAAGAGTAGGGAGTCATATAGAACTGGTAGGAGCAGTCAATGAATTAGGAGGACCAGACGAGTGTGTTACAATGGAACATACAGGGGAAGGGAGATGGAACATAGGGACAAGTTTGTAAGTATTTATGTGTTAGATAGGAATGATGATAATGTTTTATAATCGGTCCTAGAGGCTCGGTGCATGAATATTCATGCACTGGAGGGGTTGTTCCTCAGCTAGGCCTGCCCCCTCTCACAGTGTGGGGAACCTTCAGGGGCAGAAGATGACCCGGCAGTCAGAGGAAGGTGATGCCCCCATCACACCTCTGCTGCTGCCTCTGCTGGCAGCACAAATCTCACTCGGCTCTGGTAACCTGAGCCTCAGGCAGCTCTGAGTAGCTGGGTCGCCACCATCCGAGGCTTGCCTGGGCCTTGGGCATTGGCTGGGCAGCTGCCATCTGAGGCCGGCTGTGCCTCAGGCCGGCCTGGGCAGCTAGGGACCTGAAGGAACTGGGTGCCTCTAGAGGCAGGCAGGCAGAGCAGCAAGACTCACCTGGGAGCGGGCTCGGCCATGCCATGTGTCTGCTGCCCCAGAGGGGCTGAGGAGACTGGGCACCACTATCTTGTGACTAGAGCACAGCCATCTTTGACAGTGTGGCAGTCAATTAACATATTCCCTCCTTATTGGCTGTGAGTGCCACCATCTTTGTGAGGGTGGGACGGTCAATTAGCATGTTTCCTCTTTATTAAATAGGATTGTTCCACACAGTAGCTATCAATCAAATGTTCTCATTGTGCCCTTATAAAATGGCTAGTGTGAATGAGGAACTAAAAATTTAACTTTATTTGATTTGAATTAGATTTACATTTACACCTGTGGCTAGCAGCTACCCTATTAAATAGCACAGCTATAGAGGAGTCAAGCAAGATGAGCTGGGAGAAGTGCAGGTGTATAGTTTTTAGAGTGAAAGAATGACAGCTTAGTTGTAGTGGATAATGAAGTTAATGAAGGTCAACAGATCAGTAATGTGAGTATGGAGTAGGAATACTGTTTAATGAAGTTGCCTTTGAGGCAAAAAATAAATGATTTAGGTGACATGGGGTCAGTCAAAGGACAGAGAAGTTCACAGTGCAACAGAACCCTGAGCACAATTGACTTAGCCATTCCTGTGGAATCCCTGGGTGACAGGAGGTCTTTCGGTTACTTATTCTCCGAGATCTAAGCATGCTATGGCTTGTACATTAGTTATTTTATTAGGTTTAAGTTAGTATCTTTTTTTTTTTTTTTTAATCCTCAAGGCTTAGGGAAAGAAGGAGGTGGGGAGGGGGAGGAGAGAGGGAGGGAGAGATTAATTGATTAAACCCGCAACGTGGGTTTGAGCCCTGTCTGGGAATAGAACCTGAGACCCTTCATTGCACACATAAGGATAACACTAATCAACTGAGACACACTGGCCTGGGCAAGATTAGTATCTTTTAAAAATTATTAATGATAGGAGGGGTTTAGAGTAGCTGCAGTAGTAGTAGGAGTGATAATGCTGATAATATTTGGGAGAGGTAAAGGATATTTATATCGTGTCTTTTTTTCTAGTAGTTTTTGTTATCTTTATAAAATAACACAAGATTTAGAATGAGAGGATCATGTGTCTGAGATTTACTCTTCTAACCTATAATGAGAATTGTAATATTTATTTCATATTTATTTTTGTGATAAAATACAAAAGTGCTTATTTTTGTACTTTCAATTCTGTAGAACATGGGGGAGGCAAAATGTGTCGGGGCAGGGGTACCTGTGGGAAATCTCAGAAACTTGCCTGTTTTGTGCTGAACCTAAAACTGCTCTAAAAATAAAGTCTATTAAAAAGCTGTAAAGCATTATCTGAACATCAATTGTAGGAAAGCAGTGTGGTTTCATCTAAATAACTCAAACTTTAAAGCGACAATCTGGCTTTAATCTCACATCTTTTACTTCCTGTCTGTCTGACGAGGGACTAGTAAATGGCTCTGTTAAGCTCAGAATTCATGCAGCTCTTTGTTAACTGTGGAGTTCTGTATTGTCATTTTCCTTATTGAGGTACGACTATATTTTAAAGTTTCAGGCTACATTTGTGAAACAGTAGCATTATTTTTAACTGATTGGCATCCCCCTCCCCATTTAAAAAAAAATATTTTATTGATTTTGTACAGAGAGGAAGGGAGAGAAATAGAGAGTTAGAAACATCGATGAGAGAGAGTCATCGATCAGCTGCCTCTTGCACACCCCCTACTGGGGATATGCCCGCAACCAAGGTACATGCCCTTGACCGGAATCGAACCCGGGACCCTTCAGTCCCCAAGCCGATGTTCTATCCATTGAGCCAAATCGGTCTCGGCCCCCCTCCCCATTTTTTAAAAAGAAGTGTCAAATACTTGTTTCTGATTATGAGACAATACCATATTTAAATTTACCTCTATTAGGAGAGGTGTTTTAGTCATAATGATAGTAAGATATTTGAATGCAAGATGAACTTACGATGAGTGGCTATATAAACTTAAAAACTCATTGGATTTGCCAAATTTTACCATTTATCTTTCTCCCACTAGGGACTTTGAAAGATTAATTCATCCTTAATCTCCCAAAGATTAATCTCCAACAGATTAATGATAAATATTGTAAAACAGACTTTGTTTTCTTAAATGGTGGAAGTTTAGAGCCTTCATCAGGATCCTTAAATCTCTTGATGCTGTAAGAAAAAACTAAGTAATTGATGCATTTATATAATAAGAGTTATTTATTCATAAACAAAAATATTAAAATGGGAATTTTTAAAGACTTTTTGATAAACTTTAGGTAAATTTTAAGTATACATTTTTGCAGGTAGGGTCAGGAAACTCAGTACAATGGTTTGCTCTCTATATTTTTGCACAAAATCACAGTGAAATTTAGGGACTTTGAAGAAAAAAGACAGGGTTGCAAATAACTATGGGCCAGTTTCCTCTGCTGAGAGAAGGTCACAGACTCTATACCTGGCTTTGTCTGCTGCCTTGCAAATGATTTTGGTAGAACTTCAAGAAAGGCTGTGGATGACAAGGAAAAATCTACCATTACTTTCATAAAAATTTATGTTGTTCTGACATGTTTAGAGTTATATTTCTGTTAAAAAAAAAAAGTGCTTTTTATTTTCATCTCTCATTTTTTTTTTTTTTTTTTTTTCAGTTTGAAAAAGAGTTTACCGACCACCAAGAAACTCAGGCTCAATTGCAGAAAAAAGAGGCAGAGATTAATGAGCTTCAAGCAGAGTTACAAGCTTTCAAGTCTCAGGTAAAATACCATCTATCCAGAGGAATTCAGCATTAAAAGCTCACCAGGGGCGCAAAGGTCATGCCATATCTTCACAGCATTAAAATCTTTAATTTCACTTGTATGTTTTCATAGTATTTTTATATGTATGTATGTATATTTAGAAAATTTATTTTTCTACTCTTTTCAATTTGCTTTTTTAAGGATGTCTAAACTGTCACTAACCAGTCTGCTTCCTTATGTTTCATTTGGTTTTCGTAATGTCACATTTCCTAAGTAATTAAACACTAAGGGTAAGAAAGTCTTTTCATCTTAGATTTGTCATTCATCACTGATCTTTATCCTACTACAGGAAATTATTGCTCAAGTTACGTATTTTTCAAAACCTTAAGCTTACGGGTATCTTGCAGTGAAAGATAACCTCTAGCTGAATGAGAACATTTTCTGATAATTTTTCAATTTCCAAAAGTAAACAGATTTAAAACATGACAAAAAAAAAAGAAAAAAAAAAGGATAGCAAATCTGGATTGTGAAGCAGATAACTCATACACACACTCTACACATAAAACCTTTTAGATAGCAAGAAAATCATCCTCTACTTATCTTAAATGGATGAAGATGGGGAGATAGAATATTCATGGGTAAATTTCGTCGTGGAGATTTATATATAGGATGATGAACAATTAATATCATTTTATCCTCATTTATGGTTATACTAAAATAGTCTCAGATATACTATTTTGTATATTGGTATTCTACTTCCTATGTTATTGGCAATTTTTTTTCTTTTGAATACTTAGTGGATAGTTTGTTACAGAAGCTGTCCGAAGATACCCTAAGGAAGAGCTATTTTTTAATGTTCAATTAAAAAAAACCTTAAAGCTCCAACCCTGGCTGGAGTTGGTTGGAGTGTCATTTTGTACACCAAAGGGTTGCAGGTTCTGTCCTGGGCTGGGGCAGTTATGGGAGGCATTCAATGGTGGTTTCTTTCTGCTCCTGTAACTCTCCCTCTCCCTCCCTCCCCTTCCCCCTCTTCCTATCCCTCAAGTCAGTATTCTCGGTGAGAAGTAAAAATTAAAAACTTCTATCTACAAATAAGTTATTCTCAATTATTTTTTTTCTTTAGTGCATAAAAAAGGACAACAGTTTATTGAACTTTCTCATACTTCTCAGATGGCTCCCTGTTTATCATATTAAAAGAAATATTTGGTTGTATATTTTATTTCATATACAGTTATAGACAATGGCTGAAATATTTATGACTAGTTTTTCCCGCTCTAGCTAATAATACATTTAAAGACTTCCTCTGCTTTTTAATTTCTCCCAGTTGAAGAGTTACTGATAAATATACTCTAAATTTAGAATCCAGTTTGTATAAAATATATTCATCATGTTTAGATATGTTATCACTGCATGTGCTTTTATATAAAATGGAAATAAATTTACATTTTGAAATTGAGATTAAGTCCTGTATTATATAAAATTATGGACAATGATGACCTGTTTTTACGGCTATCATGAAAAATACCTGGAATTAAAGATATAATATTGGCTACCATATTCATTTTTGAAAAACAAATGACAAATTCTTCCTTTGGATTAGTGTGTATTTCTCATGAAATTTATGCATTTGTCTTCACATGCTTCTCTTTGATAAAATCTGTGCTGATTTTAAGGTTATGAATGTCCTATTATTTTTTATTTCAATCATTTAGTCACTTAATAACCAAGCAATTTTAGATGTTTGGGATATAATAGTGAGCAGGATAGTCATAGTGTCCTGCCTCATGAACAGTATATTCAATTCTAGAGCAGAAATTCAACCATATCTTTGTTTTAAGATATTAATAGCTAACTACAAAATGAATATTTTAGTTAGCTATTAACATAAGTGTGAGTATAATATACTTACATTCTTAACATTCAAAGGACAGTAAATACTATCCAAGATCCCACTAAAGTAATTCTTCTTTATGGCTCACCTTTCAGTAAGACATGTTCTTTGTTTTTTGTTTTTAATTTTTATGACACTTTTTCTCTGATCTCAGGTGTCAATTTCAGACTTTTATACAACTCTTTTTCATAACTATGCCATAAAACTTTTTAAATGATTTATTAACATTTATTAAATGTTTACCATTTGCAGTGTAATTATATATATATATATATATATATATATATATATATATATATATATATATGTGTGTGTGTGTGTGTGTGTGTGTGTGTGTGTGTGTGGCTCAGGAGTGAAGTTAGTAATTTTACGAGAATAATCATATCACAAAAAATAATTTATGAACCCATATCTTTATTCCAATCAAAATATAGTGCATCTATTAAATTCTTCCCATTCCATAGAAACATTAGGACAAAAGTGACTAGTGGACACATTTGTCTTTATTTCACTCTTCATTTTTCCTTGCTGCTCTGTCAGTCACAACATTAGGTGCTGGGGAAAGTCACTTTCTTCATAGAGTAATAATCTACCAAAGCAATACATGCTAATGATTCCTTAGAAGTTAGGAAACACTTCAGAAAGAGCTGTCAAGGAGAAGTACAGCATGCTATCAGTGTGAAATGAGTGGTCAGATAAGGCTTTTTTGAGGAAGAAATGTGTTGCTAAAATTAAAGGTAGGATATGGGCAGGTAAAGAGGATGTTCCAGGTGGAAGGAACAATGTGTGCCCAGGCCCTGAAATTGCAATGAGGTTTGCATATACGCAGAATGTAAATGAAAGTCACTTGACGTGTTTCAGATGATGGCATGTCTTTGGAGGTCTTATTGAGAATTTCAGATTTCCCCAAGGGCAAAGGCAAGATATGACAATACTAGTTAACTTTTTTCTGGGTCTTTTTCTTATTTAAATGCTAGTGTTGTATAGAATTCTATGCACAGAACTTTATTCATGCTACATACTCTGTGCAACTCTAGTTAAACTTTTCTACTTCATGGCCTCACCCAGCACCTTGAAACTGCTGATTTCAAATCTTCAGACCCATGTACCCATTTCCCACCTGGGTATTTCCATCTGATGGTCAAACTACCTCAAAAAGGGGAATACTATTTCTTTTAATTACACTTTTATGAAAACAAAAGCTATAATTTATATTCTTTTTAAAAAAAATATATTTTATTGATTTTTGTACAGAGAGGAAGGGAGAGGGCTAGAGAGTTAGAAACATCAATGAGAGAGAGTCATTGATCAGCTGCCTCTTGCACACCCCCCACTGGGGATATGCCCGCAACCAAGGTACTTGCCCTTCACCGGAATCGAACCTGGGGCCCTTCAGTCCCCAAGCCGACGCTCTATCCATTGAGCCAAACCGGTCCCGGCTATAATTTATATTCTTAAACTGGAAAAAACTTCACTAGAATTATTAGGTTAAGTTATATGAAATTTGTGATATGAAATTTAAGATATTTACATATTTTTGGCTTAAAATAATACATTATTATTATTATTGTCATTGTTATTATTTTGAATCCTCATTTGAGCACTTGAGGATATACTTGAGAGAGAGAGAGAGAGAGAGAGAGAGAGAGAGAGAAAGGAACATTGCAGTGAAACAGAAACATTGATCAGTTGCCTTCTGTATGTGCTCCAACTGAGGATTGAACCCGAAATCCAGGTATGTGCCCTGATTGGGAATTAAACCAGCAACCCTTCTTTACACAGGATGATGTCCTATCAACTGAGACTTGCAATAATACATTATTTTTAAGGGAAGTGTACTTTTACGTGTTCTATAGAGAGCTTAGTCATGTTACTTATTTATTTCATTTTTATTTTTCTGTCTAGTTTGGTGCCTTGCCAGCTGATACAAAGGCTTCTTTGCTCCTATCACAAGAAAAGGGAACTGGGCCCCCAGCACTTCCTCCTCCCGTGGCACCACCTCCTCCACCACCTCCTCCGCCGCCTCCTCCACTCCCAGGAGCACCCCTGCCATTTGGTGGTCCTGTGCCTCCACCACCTCCCCTGGGATTTCTCAGTGGAGGAAACTCTCTTCCACCAACCCTGCCATTTGGGTTAAAACCAAAGAAAGAATTTAAACCTGAAATCAGCATGAGAAGATTGAATTGGTTAAAGGTAAGTAAGTAAATAAATAAATATATGGAAGAAAATATACTCTTACCTAGATTAAAATTACTTTTGTTTTTACTTCTATATAATTTCCAGTAGGAACTCCATTAAAAGTGATTTTAAATAAACAAGATTTTTTTTTTTTTTAGGTGTTGAAACAAATTTCTTTGCTCTTGACAAAGGCTTTCTGGTTTAAAATTTTGGTGGGAATTGATGTTAGTTGGTCACATAGCCCGAGGACATGCTGGGTACCGTGTCCTGCACTTGAGTCATAGTGCACATGAGCATAATTAAAGTCTCAACAAGAGTAATTGAGAAGAAACAAACTTTGTTTCATTCTTCTTCAATCCCCCAATTTTTTCCTCTCACAAAGGCTTATCTTCCATCAGAACTCATATTTCATTGAACACAGTTTGGAGAAAAATTACACAGGATTACATTCCTCAACATTGGCTGGCAGCAATGGGACTGTGGGTCTGAATGTAATGATTGGGCTGGGACAGATGAAACACCCAATTATTTATGAATCAGTCTTCTCTGATTGCAGATCAGACCTCATGAAATGACTGAAAACTGTTTCTGGATAAAGGCAAATGAAAATAAGTATGAAAATGTGGATTTGCTTTGTAAACTTGAGAATACATTTTGTTGCCAACAAAAAGGTAAGTTTTACATTATGATTATATGTTACTGAAGACCCGGTGCACGAAATTTGTGTACTTGCAGGGTTGGGTGTCCCTCAGCCCAGCCTGCACCCTCTCCAATCTGGGACACCTTGGGGAATATCCTACTGCTGGTTTAAGCCCGAACCTTGTGGGATTGGACCTAAATGGGTAGTTGGACATCCCTCTCACAATCCAGGACTGGTGGCTCCCAACTGCTTGTCTGCCTGCCTTCCTTCCTGATTGCCCCTAACTGCTTCTGCCAGTCAGCCTGATCACCCTCTAACCACTCCCCTGCCAGCCTAATTAACACCTAACTGCTCCCCTGCTGGCCTGATTGCCAGTTGCCACCAACTGCCCTCCCCTATAGGCCTGGTCCCCCCTAACTGATCTCCTCTGCAGACCTGGTCCCCCCAAACTGCCCTCTCCTACCAGCCTGGTCACCCCCAACTGCCCTCCTCTGCTGGCTGTCTTATGGTGGCCATCTTGTGCAAGGGCGTGACAATCAATTTCCATGTTACCTCTTTATTATGTAGGATTTTAATATTTTACTAGTAACTCTGCCACTTTTTATATATTAACTAGAAAGCATTATTTTAATATATATATATGTATATGTACATATATATATCTTAATATATATGTACATATACATATATGTATATATATACTGTTACCTTATTAATGGGGAAATAAATGATTAATGAATGAAATGATTAAAAATAAAATTTTATTAGAATATCAAAGGAGTAATTTAAAATGCAGATTATTAATATAGAACTTAAATTTTCTATATAATATCTGTTTTGAAGATGTTCTAAATTTGATTTTCATGAAGAAGGATATTTTCAGAGGTTCTTTTAGCATGAGAATTTATTTTTGTCAATCAGGAATAGTAAAAACAAAAACAAAATCTTAGCTTTCCTCTAGTCAGATTTTAATATTTAATGTTACAGTGACTGTCACATAGTTCAATTATTATTAGTCACATGAGATAGAAATATCAATTTTAATGAATGCTTTTAAAGTGTGAAACAGAAGTAAATGAGTAGGTTATAAGAACTCATTAAAAGTAATATAATTTATTTTTCAAATTGTTTTGTGATAGCTTTTACTTATTCAGTGTGCCTTTAAAAAATTATATTTAGGTATTACTCTTGTCTGAAAATTGAATTTATTTCATCCAGTTTCATGGACCCAATAGAATTTGTCTCCGGGCTGATACCCAGTGAAACTGTTAAGTTCATTTTTAAGTATTATATAACATTTCCATGTGAGGTCAGAAATTACCTTTCGTTTTCAAAAAGGAGTCCATAGACATATGCACAGAGAGGGCTGGAGGTAAGCTATTGTGCTGAAAGGAGATGGGGAGGCTTGGTTTCTTATCGATAAAATGCCTTTTGTGTAGTAGGCACCATGCTAGGTGCTTACTATATCTGTTTTACCCTGATCATCTCAGTAACCAAGGGATGTTTGCTGATTACAAAAAAAAAAAAAAATTCTTTGAAATGCTTTTTAAAATATAAACGTGGATTAGAAAGTCTCTTAAGAGTAATTGTCTTAGATACACTAAAAATTATAAATTATGGTAGCTTTCTAGAATGTATGGTAAATCCAAAGTCTTTGGCAGGTATTTAGAGCACCATTAGTCTTGACCAAAATAATAAAAATGATATATTTTGAATTTGCTCAGCAAGCTTATCCTAGCAAATCTTGTAAAGTAAGCTGATCTTAATTTACCTTTTGATTATGGAGAATCAAAATTTTCCTTGAATAACATAAGTGTACTCTTTAGGCAATCAAGGAAAATATATGGCAGTTAAAATGTGTATTTACATGTAAAACACTTCAGAATTTCAGATTTCATAATCTGGAATTGATTAGTTTTCCCTTTGCTTTCCTAGTAGGTGCAAATGGAGGTACCTAAAAGCTTATTTAAATAGTACTGCCTTCCACCTACTCTCTCTTTTTTCATCTTTACTCTGATTACTTTCTTAATTAATGAGGCTCAAAAGGGAAACTTGTTAGCATGTCTTTAATTTAGCTGTAGTGTTAGCCCCAAATGAAATAATTAGACCTTTAAAAAATTCTTAAGTCATCTAACTTTAGCCTTGAGATTCAAGGTTGGAAAAAAAAAAACCCAATGTATTTGCTCAATCTAACACTAGTTGTAAAGGTTAAGGTGAGGAAGTGACAAGCATTTTCTGAACATTAGGTGCATGCATCTCTCTCTGTCTTTGCACGAGCTGTCTCCTCTCCCCTAAGTCTCTCTTGCATTTGATTAGAGGCTGGCAGAGGCCTAAACTCCTATTTTTTACCTTAAATGCTATCTTCTCTTCCCTGTGACTGTGGATGCTATTTCCATAGTGAACAGAAAAGATGGGAAAGCCCAGGGTTGTAACCCTGGGCAATGCTAACATTTCACAATGCCAACAGGAGATGAGCTGTGAACGTGACTAGTTTTTGGCCTGGATTTGAAAGAATAGTTCCTAGTAAGCATTATTTGAAGAGCCTCAATTGAGAGTGCTTTATTTAGGTATGGCTAGTGGTTCTTTTATTGTAAAAGACCAATATTTTCTAGCAGAGATCAGAAAGGAAGGCTGGAGAAAGGTGTTTGGAAAGCAAGGGCTGGTGGAGTGGACAGGTGGCCTCTGTTCATGGCCTGAGTGCTGAGGCATTAGATCCAAGTGTTGACATCTGTCAGTCCTCCTGGCCTCCAAATGCTACTTTGTTTGAATCAATTTTGTAATTTCTGCAGAATTCAAAATTAACACTCGTCATTTATTGTTCAGTGCAAGGTAGAAATACAGTTGCTTTTCACTCGATGGCCTGCAGGGAAAGCAGAGGCATTGGCTTCCGGTTGATTTTCATCATTGATTTGCTTCACAACTTGGCAGGGAAAGACAAAGGATTCAAGTTATTGATGATTAGTGGGTTTTAGAACAGTTGGTGTATGTGTGTGTGTGTGACAATATGGATGGACTGCTAGGGCATATGCTAAATGATCTCTCTCATGTGGAATCTAAAAAAATACAAACGAATCTCATGGATAGAGATTGAAGGGTGGAGGGTTGGTCGGGTTTGAGAAACAGATGAAGAATCTATAAATTTATTTAAAAAAGATGAACCCTTGCCTCACTTGAGTGGAGTGTTGTCCTGTGGACCAAAAGGTGGTGGGTTCGATTCCTGGAAAGGGCACATACCTGGGTTGCAGGTTTGATCCCTGGTCAGGGTGCATATGGGAGGCAACTGATTGATGTTTTTCTCTCTCTTTCTCTCTCTTTAAAAACCAATAAAAACAAATCCTCGGGTGATGAGGAAAAAGAAAAAGAAGAACCAGGGCTATTTTTCTGATTACAAAGGTGGATATTCCTTCCAAGGTATTTAAAATGGTAGATGCCAGTCTCTTGTGATTCCTAAACATTTCAAATAGGTAGGGGGGAAGAAAAAGGAACTGACTTCAGTCATTTAAAGAGAACCTTGACATTTTCTCTCACATATTATTTATTTTTTGTTATGAAGTATAGTGTTTTTTTTTTCTTTTCTTTTTTTTTCTTCTTTTTTTCTTGTTTTTTTTTCTTACAGGAATCACTGCTTTAGGTTTCTGGGACTTTTAGATCAATGTGGTTGGGTTTAAGAGTTCTTGTGCCCTGAGAGTTGGAAAAGGAAGGACTAATAACACCTATTGCTTACCTGTGGTGTTCCAGTCCCTAAACTGGGCCATCTTCACCTTAACTTGTTCTGCTGAGGTTTTTCTCCTGCAAACTGGCCTGACTCCCCAGAATACCATCCTGCTCCACCCACTCATAGATACTGCAAGATATTCTTGGTGAGAGCTTGGACATTTCCTCTTAACTCATGTTGCTCTTAATTATACCTCTTTGTTTTTTTTCAGTTTGATTTTACTTATTTTGTGTTTTGGATGATTCTCCCTGTGACATATATAACATTCCTTTAATGGGAAAGTGCCTTGTGCCATACCCTAAAAAGTACAGGAACCTCTCTCTCAGGCTTTTTTCTGTGAAATCAACATTTGCTCCTGATTCAATTGAATCTTTTAATATATATGTAAAGATTTTATTATATTTATATTAAATTAAATTTAATATATGTGAAAATAGTTTAACTTAATATATATATATATTGAAAGATTCGATTAGCAAAACAAGGCCTATATATATGCCTTATTTTGCTATTTAAGTATCTCACTTTGGTTTCTTTGTAACTCTCAGTTCTAAAGTTTTGAGATACATCTTAGCTTTTCATATTTTAAATTCTTATGAAAATAACCTGCAGCCATTTTTTCTGATCATCTGTTTCTTTTTCTCATTTTCCTTTCAGTTATCCATCTCACCCTTTCTTTTTTCTATATTTTGCCATCACTATTCAAGTCCACAAATATTTCTTGGGTGGCCATTTATGTCAGGCCTTGTGTTGCACACTGGGACACTGTAATGCGAAAGGCAGGCATGTGCTCTATTCTCATGTTGCTAGTACAGTCTCAATGTGACTCAGTCAAAGTCTTAGTTGAAATATAGGAATGAGGAGTGCACCAATAAAGACTGGTTTTGAATTTATGAAAGAATGACACATTTTATGGTCTTTGGCTTCTGTTAAGAATTAACATGATTATAAAAAGAACATTATAATATCATTTTGATATTTTTAATCACAATATTCATGTATTGAACATTTGGTTTCATCAAAATGATGCTAATGACCTGTGTATTTTTTACCAGATTGGAAGCATCTGTTGGTTAATTTTTACAGGCTATTAGAAAATGGATTAAAGTATACTAACAGGTTATTGGTGTTGGATTTATCAACTAAAATTAATATTAATTATTTTCATTATTCACAAACTATTATCTTAATAGGGTTTAAAGTATATGAATAGTCTAATTTAGCTAGACTGATTTATTATGAAAATATGATTGCATGTTTGTTAGCTTCCTGAAGTAATCTCATTTTGTAACAGGTGCATCATATTTGCCAGTTAG